AGTTTCTATAAGTACTGTATTACCAATTTTTTATATAATAAACTAATTTAAATAGATGATTTTCTTTTTATTATAACCTTTTTTCTACATAATAATTATAGTTAAAATTTTGCAGATTTATACAACAATTTTGCACCAAGGTACTATGCAGTAACACAAAAAATACTTAATTATTAGTTAATTTATAATTATAACAAAAAATTTTAATTTTTTAATTTTTAAAAAAAAATTAACCAAATTGAGATTTTTTTAAATAATATGTAATCAAAAATTAATTTAATTTTTTTTTATAAATATATTTATAAATCTTCAAATATTAAATATATTTAATTAATATGTAAAATTTTGTGTAATTACATTTTAATTCAAATGTATCAGATTGATGTATCACGCTTAATGAGATGACCAATATATGCTAAAAAATAGCGCTATTTTAGATGCTACGAAAATCCATTGAGTCTGATTGATATATGAAAAAAAACAATTCTGACATTTAAAGGAATAATATAATTTGTTGCTTTGATAATTAATTCTTTGCCTTAAAATCTTATAAGACGTAAACTAAATTATACTAAGCTTATAGCATATAAAATAACACAAAATACAAAACCAAGTGAGTACTTGATAGTATTTCAGTATATACACAGTAAATAATTGAAATTTTCATATTACTGTATAAGTTTTCAATCTAACCTTAATGAAGCTCTGTATTTAAAATTTTTTTGATCTGATGAAATTTTAATTTAACACACAACATACACAATCATTCAATACCGAAATCATATAAACTTCTCGAAACCGTAACAATATATCAGTGATAAAAGTAATAAGGTGCCAATTGATGGCAAATCAAAACCAATGAATAAAAAAAGAAAAATATCACAAAACACTACACCATACACATAAGATCTGCCTTAAATTTTATGTTCAAAAAAATAAGACAAACATATAAAAGACGGTCAATTTAGAACACATAAAAAAACCTAATATCTAACTAGTATGACGCCTCTTAATACGGGTACATTTTGAGTCATCATCATATCTTCGGACTTGATATTGGAGGATGGAGAAAATGCAGCTAAGAATTCTCTTTACCTGTTTCATAGTATTACTGACGAATTTGCAAATAAACAGACCAAATAATTCTACTGTTGGATCATCTGAGGAACCTGCCTAACGAAGAAAATACTATTGTAGTGCATTTGTAACGATTCCAAACATTACAATAGAAACTTCTTCATCTCTCGGGCCTACCTCAATCCTACATTTTCATGACTTATATAATATGTTGGTTAAGTAAATGCAAAAAAAAATTTCACATTAATACAATAATTACTTCTATGATGGCACTATGAATCTGTGCGATATTTGTGCTGTTCCTTTTTCGATGTCATCATTCTTGACTTTTTGGACTAACACAAGTATTTATTCAATAGGTATCGAATAATCGATAGACCCATAAGCTTTTGTCCCATCGATCCACTCTTCGGCCTTAAGTAATAATTCTTTTGTTCCTTCTTGGACATGGGTGACCGCTGTGAACATTAAAGGTGAGATAAACTCTTAATAAGTTGATTCGTTTCGATTGACAATGCCAAAATCTTTCGTTTTTTAATTGAGGTATTTTTGCTGTACGAAATTTAGACACTCGAATTCAGTGATTAGATAATCTTTAAATTAATCCAAAACTTTCTTCGGGAAAAGAAAAATCACTTCATCTGTTGGGTTGAACCTTATCGTTATCAATCATCCCCCTATAAGAACGCCCGTAGCTAACCCGCAAAAAAAATTTACCGGAACTTGATCTTTAGCCAATTAGATGACCTCCCCAGCGAACCTACAAATATCTCAGGCACGCAACGATTGAAAATGCACTTATGTTAGGGTTAGCTTTACTTTAGGGTTAGATATTAACGGGGTATAGTAGTAAAATCGCCAAGAAAGGCTTTTTGTTAGAGTGCTAAAGGTGATTACTTATGCAGATTATTGAGTTATGAGCGATTTTCGGCAAAATGAACGTTTGCTTTGATTGTGCATGTTACATCAAATAGCAATTAGCTATTGGTTAATTTCCTGTCGATCATCACGTGCCCTGGTGGAGTTCGAATTAGATCGAAGGTGTAACGTAAAAATCATGAGTTTTTTTTGGAAATTTTGTCTATGAACTTGCCTTCTGCGTTCTAACAAAAAAAAATCCTTGCAAAATTTGGGTATAAACTATGTCTCTCACTTGGCCTTATTGCGCTTTGCAAAAAAGTGTGGCCCCCAGATCATGATAACATATAAAATCACGGGAAATTGGGCGATTTTTCGATTCTAAGAGAATTTTATAGATTTCAAAATAGATAGAAATATTACTGATTGAATATATGATTGCGAGACTATTTAGAATTTCCGAAATTTCACATTATCATTGTCATGAAAATTGTGGGGTTACACTTTTTTGCAAAGCGCAATAATTCGACCTTGAATATGTGCTTAATTCGTTATTTTGATTTTTACGTATAGATTGAATATTTTCCGAGTGAGCTATCGACACTTAGTGATGTGCCGCGTACAGTACTGTACACAAAATTTTTTTTAGAATATTCTAGAACAAATCATTAAATTATCCCTATCTCAAATGTTTGATTATGAAACTGTCTTTCGCATTCTAACAAAAATTATTCCTTGCATAATGTTGCATATAACTGATTTATATATGCTACATCTATTATGTGTATTACGCATGCCATACACACATACAACTATACGTACTGTAAAACCAACAATAAGATCGCACGTATTATAGTAAAAGGTAGTAAAAAAATATGGAAATTTTAGTGTATGCTTAAAAATGGATGTTTTGCGTCGGTATATCTTCTCCCTGTAAAAAGCTATAGATCAGATGTTCCGAATGTTCAAGAATGTTGAACTAACTAACACGTAGCAGTAGTTTCTCTATTATATTTAGGGTCTCATGAATTAAACATGTTGACCCAGATATTGATAGTGAAGAATCCAAAATCAGATAAATTGGCATCGTTCTTCATTACTTCTTTTCTTTTCTGGCAATAAAAGAATACTAAAAATAGTTCTTGAGAACATGAATTTTTCGACTATTATACTTTAAGTATAGTTACACTGTTGACCTATAAAAAAAAGTGCACAGGATTTGTAATAATAATCCTCCCGTGATCTTGATATAGTGATCGGGGGGATTAATAGTTAAGCACGGATACGTGATAACACGAGAATTTACAGAACTATACAGAATATAACACAGATAAGTGCTTAGTTACGTACGTATGTACGTATGTATTCATTCACTATTTTGCTTGTATGCAGATTCCATATAACTAATCTGAATTCCGCGTCTTGTAGGTGCTGTTTTTCGTTCTGGCATGTGCACTTATGCGTAAAAATTTCTTACAGGTAGATATTTATAGTAACCGATGAAAAGTAATTCAAATAAATACGTTTCTAATATAAATTAATGATTCCATTGCTGCAAGCAGATTTCACTGTTCGGAATTTTATACTGTCTTATACGTTTTGAATTAGAGCCTTTGTTGTCTTCGATTACGTAGTTTTCTTGTTTATACAGTTATGTTTAGGCCTTTGATGCTTAGATTACGTGATTTATGACCTTTTCAGATTAAATTAAGCACAAGTATTAATTTTTCAAAATTCACTATGTATTTGGCGTGGATCAAATTAAATTAGTACATTGCGGACTGCTTGCTTTTGTCAAAACCGAAAAGCATTGTCCTTGTAATCCTAAATCATAAATTTTAAAAATGTTCGGTGTCACTTAACAACAAACGTATTTGCTACTCAGACAATAAATTTCTATTCATCTATTTTTTTTCTAATTATTTTAAATTTAATTTCAATTATAAATAAAAATAACTTGTAAACCTCAATCTTATTTGCCTACAAGCAAGCAATTGTTTTTTAGATTATTTATTAAAATACTTATTATATATACGTAAGTTGTGTATAAGCAGTCGGTAACCTCGATAACGAGAGTCAAATATCTGGACCATTTAGTAAAAAAAATTTTGAATCTGAATTAATGATAACTATAATAGGAGAACCTTTCATGTATTAACCTTAGATTTTATTATAAAATGAAAATTATATCTTTATTCGCATCCTTGTATGAAGAATTTGGTTAACGTGATGAAAGACAGATCTCTACGAATATGAAATGTTTAAACCGGATTATAAAGAATACGTATGACAAACCCTTGTGTGTGTTTGGAGCTCATAGAAAGACTTTCACATGATTGGCTGTTTAAATCAATTTAATTTTAAATTATTTCGGTATTTGTATAGTTTTTTAAAGTACTTTTTTTTAAAAAAAAATAAAACAACAAAGAATAAGTAAAAGCAAAGTATATAGAAAGTTTTATTAGGTCGTAGAACTTTACTATCAAAATAATCAAAATCCCTTTATTTTAGAGAAGTTAGTATGATAACGACTTCTGAAAAATAGGTTATAATCATGATAACCTCTCTGAAACAAAAAGAGATTTTGATTATTTTAATAGTGGGGTCCTACGACGCTAATAAAACTTTCTATATACTTTGTTTTTACTTGTTCTTTGTTGATACATTTTTTTTTAAAAAAAGTATTTTAAGTCATGCAAATACAGAAATAATGTAAAACTAAATTGATTTAAACAGCCAATCATATCAAAGTCTTTCTATTAGTTTGGAGTTACATATACAATTTTCATATTATGTTTGTTGTTACAATTATAGTCACGCATGAGAATAAATATTGACATTTTTAACATAAATGGCAAGATCGTAAATTTAACTTTGGGATCCTTCATTACAATGGATGTGGATATTTTTAGCATCAATGAAAAAATAGTTTATTTTAAAATGTTTAAAAATGTAGTTTTTGTGCCACTTCACTTAACTATAAAGTGTCACTCGCTATGTTTAGAAAATAAAGCTTTCATTCCTATATCTTTTTTTTCTATTCATTTATCATTGAATTCTGCACGATGAGTACAAAGTTCCTTGCTGACATAGCTGAAGATTATAAGCAGCTTTATGAAACTAGGGAAAATTATGATGTAATTATTTACGCAGGCGAAAAGCCTGATGTTGAAGAAATTCATGCACACTCTCTGGTCCTTCGAACTAGATCTACTTATTTTCGTGGTGCTTTTACTTCTGGTTGGGCAACAAAGACAAAGATAGTGGCTGTTTCATCTTTAAGAGGCCTAATATCTCTTCATCAATTTTTGAACTTATTCTTAAGTAAGTAATAATATAAATTGTTATAATGGTTTTTAATATTAAAAATTATATAAGATTTACGTCATCGATAATATTATCAATAGATTTTTATATTGTGGGGAAGTAGATATTTATGATCAAGAAGGAGAAACGGTTTTGGATCTTTTGGTTGCTTCAGATGAATTTGGTCTTACAAAACTTATTGATCATGTTCAGCAATATTTTGTTGAAAATCAGAAAAGTTTTTTACAAAAAAATCCTGTAGGAACGTTTCATATTGCTGCTCGTCATGAAGCCTTTAATGAACTTTTAAAATTCTCTTTAAAAACTATTTGCGCAAATCCTGACATTCTATTTTGTACAGATAATAAGTATCTTTCATTAAATGAAGATGTGTTAATCTTGATACTTAAAAATGACGAACTTTTAATTGAAGAAAGTGAAATTTGGGAAAGATTGATCAAATGGGGAATTGCACAAAATACTGAACTTAAGGGTGAGGTGACTGAATTTAATCAAGATGATTTTAATTTATTAGAGAAAACTTTACAAGGATGTATTCAATATGTTAGATTTCATGAAATTAGCATGCCAGATTTTTACCATAAAGTATTACCATATATGTCTATTATTCCAAATAACTTATTCAAAGACATTTTACGTTGTTACATGGTTCCAAACGCAGTACCTCTTTATAATGTATTTCCTCCTAGATATAAAATTTTCAGTTTTAATTGACATAACCCATGCACGTTTATTCACAAGTTGGATCAATCATGGTAATAATAAAAGCAAGTCAGCTTACAAATTTATTCTACTATCCCGTGGCAGCAGAGATGGTTTTCAAAATAATATATTTCATCAAAAATGTGACCAAAAAGGTGCAACAATTATTGTGGCAAAGATTCAAAATTCAAAACAACTTGTTGGTGGTTACAATCCAGTTGATTGGGATACGAGTGGCCAGAATAAGTATTCTGATTGTAGCTTTATTTTTTCATTAAATGATGCTACTAATATATCAAATGTTAAATTAGGACGCATTTCATCATCCTATTATTCTTGCGCAATATTTTGTTATAGTAGTAATGGACCAAATTTTGGTGGGCATTTGCATATTAATGGAAATAATGTGAATGCTAGCAGCAATGGATATTATCCCAATATTGGCATTCAAAATAGTAGCAAATTGAGGATTATGAAGTATTTCAATTAATTCCATTTTTAGAATTAGATTAAAAATAGCGTTTAAAGTTATGATTTGTTATTATTTTATAAAGCTTATATTTATAATAAATTTGTATTGAATGTGATCTTTGTTGCAAGATTACGTGCCTATAAATTTGAAATCTGTCGTAAATCCTTATTTCAAATATTTATGACGGCTTGTGATAATGTAAAATCCTGTGCCTTATGAATTGTGATTGCTCCGGCATAATGAAAGCTGAAAGTTGTTGACTTTTCCTCCCAAGTGTATTTAATAAGTCAAATTAATGATCTCTCTAGTTGTGAAAGCATTTTTTTATGAAGTTAACAATTTTGAAAATCATTTCCGCACAAATTATTAGACAGCATTATTGGCACCTATTTCTTCAAACTCCGCCTGTTTTTCACTACATGGCTTATTAACTTTCTTTTACTTTCTTTACCCGCTGAATTCTTATTGAATAAAGGGTATTTGTTTAATACTTGAAAGGTATAGTTATTACATTTTAGTTTCATGATTCACATGTTTCAAATTTGTACGATCTATTATGATGTTCAATGGATCATTTTATTTCTTTCATCTTTTGATAAAAATAACAGTGATCCCGGCAGCATAGAAGGATCTGATAGATTTCGAAATCATTGTTGCACAAACTTATTTATATGGACAATTAAAAATTTGATATATTAATATCGTTGTAGTCTAAAAGCAGGCAATTTTACTATCCATTTACCCATAATATAACAAACTAAAATTTCTTCGTTTAGAGTATCTAGTAGAAAATCTTTTCGAATCGCTTTCAATTGCTTTCCTTATGGAGTTTTCATAAGAATAAAGGTAAATGTTCGGTAATTAGTAGAGTTTATTAAGTTTCTATTACGTTTAATTTATTAAGCTGAATCTTAGATTTATAAATTGTTAAACTGGGAATGTTATACTATTATACATTTATTAAATAGGCTAAGCATTTATTTACTCGAATCAAAAGTATATATATGTCTTATTTATCAAACAAATAAGAAAGCTAAGTAAGATCTCTAATATACGTATAGTAAATATGGTGATGTGGCCTAATTGGTAATATCATCCAAGAGTAACAACCAACATGTTTTAGTAAAGTATAATAGTTAAGAGATGGATTGGAATTGCTTTATCTTCAAAAAATCTTCGCATTTGTTAATAAATTTGGTTCATTTTATTTCATGTATTGAAAGAATTTTCGATTTGATTTGATTGCCAATAGTCACCCATAGATCTATCCAATCACATAACTTATATGTGAAAGCCCAATTTTTAAATAATTTATGAGATTAGATATTAAATTACATGGGTTAAAAATACGTATATTATGATTTCCACACGTCTGTGTTCCGTGCCGTACTATTTTACTGTGTACTCCATATTTCCTAAATTTTCCTAAACTTCCTGTAAGCCACAAATTGTTACTTAATAACGATAAATTAACTACAACTTTCTACGTAACATTGGATATGTATTTACAGCATTATTGGAGATGAGTACATAATAAGTACTGTAAATGTAGTCTTAAGAGCTCTATTTTATGGACCACAATATACGTATTATTCTCTAAGGATGAATGAAGATTATGAAGATCATAAAGATTGTATTTTTTTTATTTAAGAAGCATGATACATTTGCATCTTTGTAACTATATTAACTTATTAATATAATTATTTTATTTTTAGTTGGCCTGGATGGTACACCTGAGCCTGTTGAAAATTTTGAAATAAATTTGATGGCAGAGTATAAAATTAAACTTTGCATGCACAAGTTATAACCACGAACGTTCATGTGGAAGATTATACTATTAAAGTAGAACCTTTGAAACTCGGTAATATTAAACTTTTCTTATTATATATAGTTATTCATCGCGGCTGATTGATGAATAGGTATGCGTTAGGTTAAATGCAAGTAATAATAATCAAAATAATTTATTTCATTATAATTTATTTGTCCGAGTTAATCACAGCAAAATTACCATTGCAAAATTTGGCGTTGAAATGAAAGTAAACCAAAACATGTGCAATAACAAGGGTTCGTTATGTTGTTAGCACAATTAGAGTATTACTATTTCTGTTCAAAACAAAAATGAGTACGCCAAAGAGAACCCCATCGGATTCAATCCTTAAAAAATTTGAAATGAATATGGTAAGTCATAAATTTTTCCTTTGTAGTTATTTATGCACCGTCAATCCTCCAGAAGTGCATCTTATATAAATGAGCACTGCCAAGAGAAAACCTGCGAATCTTATTTACGGGTTTCCTCTTGGTAGCACTAAAATGCGACATAATATGATTTTACCAACAGGAGGAACCGTCGATGTTACACAACTGATTCTTCACCCTGCGTGCTATGTATAAAAAAATCAATTTTACAATACCAGATCATTCC